CCCTTCCGACCCTAAATCTATGAAACTATGAAACTAAGTATTTTGAGCAAAAAGTAGCACACATTTGATGAAAGAGTGGATCGGGAATATCAAAAGACTGCCTGCAACAGGTTGCCTAGGAGCCTCTGTACTTTATTAGTTCATCATTATTAAGCAAATCATAAGAATACAATTATGGCAAATAGCCACTGGATGGCAGAACAACTGTGGTAGCACTGCAGAAACTCATTCTTTTTCTGTCATTTAATGGCCTACTGCAAGGCCAAAAATGTCCTTTCATAAATACAGCGCTGTGTGGTTCCTGACATGTTATTTGAGGCACACTTCACTAGGAATGGGGAGACCATTGAGAACTGCAAGCATATTTGTTATTGCTTCTTCAGTCATCATATAGGTGGCTTGGACTGTAGCAGTTCCAATGTGAGGCGTTATAATAATATTCTTCAACTTTAACAACGAGTGATTTCTGCAAGAAATAAAACAAGACAGAATGATTAGAGTTTAACTTTATGCTACTGCTGTTGCGTTTAGTCTAACTGGCAGTAACTTCTCCCAAGTTTTGTATGGTGAGGAAGAGGGACCATAATGCACAGGCTACTCAGAACAGAAAGGAATTAATTTACCTATTTTTTCTACATTGGCCTACTGCCTCCAGTACAGTCAGACTGGTGTATATATAAGACTGGTCACAGCTCTGGCTACAGAGCTGGTGTATACAGGAGACTGAGGATTTACCTTTATGCAACTTAAATGAATCTGGGACTGACAGTGGTACTGGCAGCGGTTAGTAACTGATACTGGTATTTCAAGTAAGTTTTTGATCTGATGGGCATTCATTCAGCCTTGAAAAAGGTATCTCAGCCTACACAGCTAGTTCACCGTTACTGAGAAAGTCAGTGTTAGAAGCAGAAATGGAATTTGGGGGTCCTGGACTGTACTTTTGTGCTCAGAAAACCAAAAAGGACCAAAAACTACATAAGATGTGGCTGAAATCTGAAAATTACATCTAAAATATGTTTAAAACTATGAATGGATGCTGAGGAAATTAACAGTACCATACTTTCCTACATATAACTCCCACTCCCAAATAAAACATGCAACTTGTTTCTGGAAGGAAAAATGTAGGAAAAAAAAAGATTTTCCAGAATCAAGTCCAACTCTGTGACATCAAGCAAGTCTGCCTGGAAACAGAGTGTGCAGGAAGTATGGCAACATAAACCTCCTGGTGTGACAAACTCTCTCTTGCAATGCCACACTTCCTGCCCACTCTACATTCCCAGGAGGACTCACTCTATGTCATGTAAAGTTAGGCACCAGACCCTTACAAAGGGCAGTAGCAAGACCTTTACTTCTTTAAGTCACTGATTTTCAACCTTTTTCATTTGTGGACCCCTAAAAAGTTTTGAAAGGAGGTGCAAACCCCCTTTGAATTGTAAGTGTGAGTATTCACATACTTTTGATTGATCATAATCATCCTTCATAGAACCCTTAGACAGTCTGTAGACCGCCACAGGTCTGCGGACCACAGGTTGAAAACCACTACTCTAAGTAGTTCTTTATGCAAGTTCCTGTAAATAAAGTGTTGTTTCTACATCAAAAGCCTCATTAAGATACTATCAGCAGCTTGCTTGCTGCTTTGGGCACAAGCTACAGCGCTCAACCAATAGCCATGGCTGTGAAAGACGCAAGCAGCAGTCATCTTGGCAGCTGCACAACATGGGCAGTGTCTCCTGGAGTGCTTCTTTTTCAGCGAAGAAAACAGCTTCCCCATTTAAAATATGTACCCCAATTTTGGGATGCTGATTTTGAAGGAAAGATGTGTGTTGTGCATGAGAAAATACAGTATTTCCAGGTTTTAATTCATGTTCTTCAGGGTTTAAATAATTTTAGATTAAAGAGACAAAACAAGTTTTCTACCTTGGCAGAGGTTCAGGGTAAGTCACATCAAGAGCTGCAGCCCTGATGACTTTGTTTTGAAGAGCTTCTACCAGTGCATCTTGATCAACTACTGCACCTGCATTAACATGATAACATCTTATCCAGGAGCAGCCCAGATACATACACCAATGAACAAGATACATCTACATCTTTAATCAAGAAAAAGGTCTCAAAGTACAGTTAGCAATAGTAATGGATTTTCAGCTCATTATAAAAATCAGACATAGTTCTAGCAACAATTATTGTTTAAAATTAGAGCTGACATGGTCCAATATATAGGACACTGGACTGGGACCAGACAGAATTTCTATACTAGATCTGCCCTTGACCTCCATGTGGTTTTACATAAGTCACTTACCCAAACCTTTTCTATCTTTCATCTTATCTGTGTTATCTCTTGTGATTGTAATGTCTCTGGAACTGCCACTTATGTATTTTTGTGCGGTACCAATGGGGCCCTGATCTCCATGTAGACCTCCATGTGCATTACGGTAATAATAATATGAGAGAAATCCCATTCTTTGATATAATGATCCCCCCAATGGGCACTAGGCTCTCCTTAAATGTGCCCTGCACATCTTTAATTTAACTAGAGGAAATAGTCTCCTACCAAGCTAAATCCTGGGAGGTGCTAAGACCCTGCTAAGCACCTGTTACTGCTTTTGAAAGATCAATGGGAATTGTAGATGCTCAGTATTCCATGTATAATGAACATTATCTAGCTGAGTAGAACTTTTTTGTGTGCTAAATAAAACATGAAAGTCCTTGCAAGAGGGAACTTCTAAGTAGAAAAAGACAAGATTCAACTTATTCTTAACTATGGAGCCCCAACTCATGCTTATATAACACCCCACCTCTGCTGATGTTAATGAGAGTAGCAGTGGGTTTCATCAGCTCTAACTCCCTTTTCCCGATCAGTTTGTGCGTCTGTGGTGTCAGGTTCACAACCAGCATGACAAAATCTGATTGCTGGAGCAAGTCTTCCATCTTTTTACAATAAATGGCACCAACAGCCTGTTCCTCTTCCTCTTTTCTGAAGGAGTAAAAAAACCACAGCAATCTCTTATTGGTTTTTATTTTCTTCTGGAACATCTATCTTAGACCAACACATGACTTTTTCCAGACTCACTGCCAACCACTTCACTAGCAAGTCACTTGCAGTGCAATGTAGGAAACAGTGTAAGCATTAGGAACCTTTGAGATGATGCTCCCTTATAGCTGCAATGATCCATACAAAGGTTACTATCAGGGGACCTATCAAGGAGATTTTCAGACCTCTTCTACTAGCTGATTTGGGAAGCAGAAGTGGCTTCTCATTTGGACAAGAAAACACCTCTCTGCTCATATGAAGGCCATTTAGCAAAGGAGAGGCTGGTTTAGAAATATAAAAGGGAACTGTATAAAAGGGAAGGAAATGTATTCTGATTGGCCTTCAGTGAGGGGTCTGGTGTGAGAGCTTAACCTGTGCTTTAAACCCAGAGAGCTAACAGAAGAATAAAAAAGAAACCAAGCTCGGCCTTATGCAAATTGGATGGTTTCACCAAGGGCAAGTCACACCTGGCCAGCCTGACTGCCTTCTATGATGAGATAACGGCTCTGTGGATGTGGGGGAAAAACAGTGGACATATTATACCTTGACTTTAGCAAGGTTTTTGTTACCGTCTCCCACAGCACTCTTGCAAGGAAGCTGAGGAAGTATGGGTTGGATGAATGGACTGCAAGGTGGATAAAAAGCTTGCTGGATTGTTGGGCTCAGCAGGTAGTAATCAATAGCTCAATGTCTAGTTGGCAGTTGGTGGAGTGCTCCAGGGATCAGCCCTGGGGCCCGGTTTGTTCAATACCTTCATCAACAGTCTGGAAGATGGAATGTAAGTTCAGCAAGTTCACTAATGACACCAAGCTGGGGAGTGGTAAATACGCTGGAGGGTGGGGCTAGGATTCAGTTGCCTAGACAAACTGGAGGATTGGGCCAAAAAAAATCTAATAAGGTTCAACAAGGACAAATGCAAAGTCCTGCACTTAGGATGGAACAATCTCATGCGCCAGTACAAGCTGGGGGCTGACTGGCTGGGCAGTAGCCCTGCAGAAAAGGACCTGGAGGTTAACAGTGGACAGTAAGATGGATATGAGTCAGCAGCATCCGTTGTTGCTAAGAAGGCTAACAGCACTGTGGGCTGCATTAGTAGAAGCGCTGCCAGCAGATCAAGGGAAGTAATTATTCTGCTCTGTTCTGTACCAGTGAGGCCATATCTGGAGTATTGTGTCCAGTTTTGGGGCCCCCACTATAGAAAGGATGTGGGCAAGTTGGAGAGTCTAGTGGAGGGCAACAAAAATGGTGACAGATGACAGAACAAGGAGCAATGGTCTCAAGTTGCAGCAACAGAGGTTTAGGTTTGATATTAGGAAAAAAATTCTCACTAGAAGGGTGGTGAAACACTGGAAGAGGCTACCTAGAGAAGTGGTGGAATCTCCACCGTTTGAGTGTTTTAAGGCCTGGTTTGACAAAGCCCTGGCTGGAATGATCTAGTTGGGGATGCTCCTGCTTTGAACAGGGGGTTGGACAAAATGACCTCCTGAGGTCTCTTCCAACCCTAATTTTCTATGATTCTATGAAATTAATACACTGATTATCATCTTACCTCTAGTACTATCTAAGTGGAAACCCCCCACTCCCTCCAGGAACAGATGCTCCTTCATCGTTTATTATCCATTTGTTACTGTTACTGGAACATATGGTTTGTTGTTATATTTGTTCTCAAGAGTACTTCTCATGAGGCAGTGTATAATTTAGCGCGAGAGGAAAGCAGATGGACCATTTCTTGAAATGATTAAAACTCTTCAATGGTACTAAAAAAATTACCATACTAAAGCACACTCAGTTATTTAAGGGGCACAGAAATAAACACACTTAATTTATATTTTAACCTCAAGAATTATTTGACGATGTTAAAACCTTCTATTGTTTTTTCTGCAGTTATCCAGATATAGAACAGAACCACGAAGGCCTATATTAGTTTGTGCTAGGTTCCTGTTAATGGGAGTACTGCTTCTGAGACAACAGAATAAAGTTAAGGAAGGAATTCAGGATCTGGTCAGCAGTTTGGAAACTGCTTCAGAAAAATCTAAATAGATAAATAAAATGTAGTATATAATAATATATTGGCTGAGATGTGTGCACGTATCACTACTCCTATTGGACAGGAAGTCAGATACACTCAAACAAATGCAATTATGTCACCTTCTAGTGGCTGACCAGAAAAATCTGTCATCATTGTTCTATTACTACAACTGCTCAAAGAAGTTCTTCTCAAAGAACCCATTTCCCACATGCTTGCGCATATTACTTTGAAGTTTTATGTACCCATAAGGGTGCAGAGAAGGATTAATGATCCAAAGTTGCCATAAATTGTGCCAGGGCTCCCAAGATACAACTCCTCACTGCTCTCCTTCATACGGACAAGCTTCAACAAATTGCTTCTGCACACAGCTGGGGAAGCACACCAACTCCCTTGTATGCTGCTGGCTGGACAAACTGGTGTGCCTGAACCACCTTAGCTGGCTGTGCTATTAGGTTTTTTTGCGCCAATTCACACCAATTTAAAGTTGAGCCCTCACAAAGATCTAGAAAATAAAAACATGTAGAAGCACAGACCAGGCCTGGCATTTTTTATCTCCCTGGTTGTCAGCAACTATACCCTGAACTTTCCAAAGTGTAACCATCATTTCAAAACATAAAGAAAGAGAGAACATTTAAGTATCTATAAGAAGTGGCACTAGACAGAGATGGAATAGAAGCCTAAACTTGCCCAAGGTTGCACTGGGCACATATACACATGCACTAATACGCCGTTGTTACTGTGCATTAAGTTTAGTACCTCTAATATAAGGTACTAACTAAATGCACAGTAACCAGCGCTCCTGCAGTAGTGTCAGCGCATGGTCTTTTCGTGATGGTTAATGCACAGTAGACTAATTCTACTATGCATTAGCATGGCTTTTGGCACAATGTGCTAATGCACAGTAGAATTACTCTACTGCGCATTGTCTCATGCAGATGTGCTCAGAAGAATCAGAATTAGTATCAAATTACACAGAACAGATACAAGCACCAGCATGCAGGCAACCCAGTCCAACGGCTAGGACTGAGTACCATAACCAGAATATCAACCAAGAATCAGAGGCCAAAGACAGGGACCAAAGGAGAAAAGGAAGGTCAGAAACTGCTTGAGGGATCAGGTACATTTTGCAGCCGGGAGGCAGTTTCTCTCTCTGCCCTTAAGACTACAGTACTGAGACCACAGCCAATCATGCTGCTGCTGAGCTCCAGCTGTGGCCAACTATCTTAGGATACTGAGTGACTTCCATAGTAGCTGGGGAAACAACTCTTACAATACACAACATCAAGGAATACTGACTGCAAATACAGGAACAAGAGCAAGAGATGCCAGACATTTCAGCAGGTTCACACTGAGCAAACCATACCAGCTGGCTGTAGCGTCTCTGTTGACTGAGAATTTCAAGTCTCTGATATTGTCCATTACATGCAGATTCATTTTCTTCTTTTGGGCCATAGCACAGGTGCCATCTACATCCCCCCCTGCAATCTAATGCCTGGCTTACCCAACAGAAAAAAAATACTACCTCGGCTAAATTTTACAGTCCTTTCAATAGCTAATACTGTCCCTTCTCTCTTATGCACGTGATGGCATCTAACACTATACTTTCACTTACTAATCATTAATCTCACACCAGGCTCATCTCCCATCTAATGACCAAAAAAATCTCACTGGAAAAAATATGTATTTCACTACTGACACAACCTACAGAACACAATGCTGAACAAGGGAAACTGGATCTCTCATAGATTGTAAGGCTGGAAGGGACTGCAGATCATCAGGTCCAGCCTCCTGCACCGGGCAGGAAAGACAGCTGGGGTCAGGTGACTGCAGCAAGGTGACTGTCCAGTCTCCTCTTGAAGATTTCCAGGGTAGGCGATTACACCACCTCTGGAGGGACCTTATTCCAGTCTGGGCACTCTAACTGTGAAGAAATTTTTCCTAATGTTGAGCTTGAAATGGCCTTCCAAGAGTTTCTGGCCATTACTCCTGTTTTTTCCCCAAGGATGCCCTGGTGAACAGTTGTTGACTGAACCCTTGATGTACTTCCCCGATGTAGTGGTAAGTTGCTACCAAGTGAACCCTCAGCCTTCTCTTTTTCAGGCTAAAGAGTCCCAGGTCCCTCAGCCTTTCACTGTATGGCTTGCCGTGCAAGTCTCTGAACATATGGATGGCCCTTCTTTGGACTCTCTCAAGCTTTGCCATATCCTTGTTAAAGCATGGTGCCCAGAACTGGACACAGTACACCGGTTAAGGTCTTACCAATAGCGAGTAGAGGGCTGCCAACTGGCTGGAGGGCCGCACCCAGAGAGTGGTGGTGGATGGGTCATTTTCAACTTGGAGAGATGAGAGCAGTGGGGTTCTGCAGGGCTCAGTCCTCAGGACGCACTGTTCAACATTTTCATCGGTGACTTGAATGAGGGGGTAAATAGCACCCTGTTCAAATTTGCTGATGACACTAAGATGTGGGGGGATGTGGGCATGCTAGAAGGGAGGAATAGGCTGCAATTGGACCTAGACAGGTTACAGGGGTGGGCAGATGAGAACAGGATGGGATTCAACACCAACAAGTGCAAGGTGATGCACCTGGGGAGGAATAACCGGCACCATACCTACAGGCTGGGGAACTCCCTTCTTGTCAGTACAGAGGCAGAAAATGATCTTGGAGTCATCATTGATGCCAAGATGAACATGGGCCGGCAGTGTGGGGATGCAGTCAGGAAGGCCAACCGCACCTTGTCATGCATCCACAGATGCATCTCAAGCAGGTCCAAGGAGGTGATACTCCCCCTCTATGCGGCACTGGTCAGGCCGCAGCTGGAGTACTGCGTCCAATTCTGGGCGCCACACTTCAAAAGGGATGTGGACAACATGGAGAAGGTCCAGAGGAGGGCCACTCGCATGACCAGGGGGCAGCAGGACAGGCCCTACGAGAAGAAGCTATGGGACCTGAACCTGTTCAGCCTCCACAAGAGAAGGCTGAGGGGAGATCTAGTGGCCTGTTACAAACTAGTCAGAAAGGACCAGCAGGCACTGGGGAAGTCCCTGTTCCCCCGAGCACTACCAGGATTGACCAGGAATAACGGTCACAAGCTGGCAGAGGGTAGATTTAGGCTAGATACCAGGCGCTACTTCACGGTCAGGGCAGCTAGGATCTGGAACCAACTTCCAAGCGAAGTGGTGCTGGCTCCTACCCTGCAGGTCTTTAAGACAAGGCTAGATGTACACTTTGCTGGGGTCGTTTGACCCCAGTACTCTTTCCGGCCATGGCAGGGGGTCGGACTCGATGATCTACTCAGGTCCCTTCTCACCCCAGAAACTATGAAACTATGGAAGAATCGCTTTGGTTTTGCTGGAGATGCATCAGTTGATGTATACCAGAGTATTATCTGCCCTGCTGGCTACAGCACTGCACTGCTGACTCAAGTTCATGCTACAGTCTATTATTACCTCCAGGTCCCTTTCATTCGTGGTGCTGGTCAGTTTGGCACCAAGCCTGTAGGTGTGTAGGGGGTTGTTCATCCCCAGGTGGAGCACCTTACACTTCTCAGTGTTGAACTTCATCTGGTTCCAACTTGCCCAACTTACCAGCCTGTCCAGGTCTGCCTGTATCTGTAGCCCATACTGAAGCATGACCACGCTTCCCCATAACATGGTGTCATCTGCAAACTTGGCCAGTGAGCTCTTCACCCCCTCATCCAAATCATTGATAAAGATGTTGAAAAGTACTGGACCAAGCACTGACCCCTGCAGGACACTGTCGCCCACTTCTTTCCAGGATGACACAGATCCGTTCACTACAACTCCCAATTTCATACCCACCTGTCTTGCACAATCCTCCAATTTTTTTGCAAGAACCTCATGGGATACCTGATCAAAGGCTTTTTGGAAGTCAAACACATTTTACAGTCCTTTCATCAACCTCCTCTCTCTTATAGAGGTGGCGAGTTACCTGATCATAGATGCATGTGTACTTCTTTCCTTTGATCACAAGCAAGGGAGTCAAGGAGAGAGGTTCAAACGCACTCAGACATGAGTGACTGGGCCTCCTGAATCTGGGGAGGCACCTGCAGAAGCCCCCGACCCTGTCAGAGGGGGCACCAGCCCTACTGACAGCATCACTGATGGCCATTGGGGGGCAATGGCCCCGTTGGGGGTGGGGGGTGCATGTGCACCCCCTACCAGTCGCTTATGTTCTCAGAGTAATACTGTGACCCTCCAGTCTGCCTCACATTACATCATAATCACATTCATAGCTTCAACAGATCTCTTCATCACTCCGTACAGTGGCAACTAGCACAGTGAGTATGGCTGCAGTGACTACATATAATACCTAGGGGCTAGTGCTAACTCTAGAGTGGCAAAAAATAAAGCTATGTGGGCATTTATATGCTTGCTTTTCAAGAGCTTGAGTTTATTATACATTAACTCTTGTGCTTCAGAAGTTTGGCTTTTGCTCAACCTGACGTTCTAGAAGGGCATGTTAAAATTTCTGAGCCTGGCAACAAGAGAACTATTTACTTAATTAAGTCAAAGAGAATTTGAGCCTCAACTAGCAAAAAGGGGGAAGGGGTTAGAAGAAAACACTCTATAAATAACATTTTAAATGATCAAAATATCTTAGATTCTGCTCAAGTCAGAATAGATGTGCTTGTACCTCCGGTTCCTGTTGTGATACAGAATTTTCATGTCAAAGGCTTTGGCCCGCTTGGCCACTTTATAGCCAATACTGCCCATTCCAATGATCCCAAGGGTAGCCCCAGTGACTTCCACTCCCAGCCAGTCAACAGCAAAACGCTCAGTGTCTGGGGAAACTGCAATCTGACAGCCTGAAAAAAAAAGTGAATAAATTGAAATAAACTGATTATGAAGGAATTTAAGATGGAAATTAAAAAGAGAAGGAATGTTCACAAAACCATCAAAAGAATGAAGTTCTGGAATAGTTCATAGGAGTAAAGGGGGTGTCAAATATCCAAGTACTTTTAAGATGGAGTTTGACCAGTTTTTTAAAGCGATGTATGAAAGTTGCATACATAGCAGGGAATAGGTCTCAGTGGCCCAGGAGGTTCCTTCCAATCCTACGTCTGCAATACATTTATTTTTGCTGAATGAATTCTTCATTGTTTGTAACATTTTCTTGGACGTTTGCACTTAGGTTAGACAGAGGCCTTAATCTCATGAACACTGCCTTGTGCTGAAGCAGGCTTGGGTACAAGCTATCAGAGGAAAAACAGAAAAAGCAGCACCACTTGAAAAGCTGAATCCTCAGTGCTTTTCTTCCTAGATTCCTAAAATGTATTTCAGCCAGGTCAGCTATGACAAAGTGAAAAATGGAAAATGCCAAAACAAGCTCAAATGGAAGAAAAACATCAGCAAAGGAATTAAAAACGTTACCTTCCACTAGTCTTCTGGCAGATGCCAACATCAGGGCCATCCCTGTATCTGCTGTGGAGTCAGATACAGCTTGTGGAGTATTAGTCACTTTCACTCCAAAGGTAGAAATCAGTTTCAAGTCCAAGTGATCCACTCCTACTCCGGAGTTGGCAATCACTTTTAAGTTAGGCAGGCTTTCAAGGAGTCCCCGGTCAATGGTGGGTCTGCGTTCAAATATGAAAATAGATTTGATTTTTTCACTCAGTTCTTTTTTATTTTCAAGAAATTCCTTCATGGTGATAAGGTGAAAGTTCTTTTTCAGGAGCCCCACATGGTTTTCCAGAACACCTTCTACTCCTCCAACTCCAAGGATCAGAACACCAGGCAGTTCTTGGTCTCCCATGACCTGCCAAAAGGATCAAGAGAAATGTTCTCTTACACATGAGAAATGAACAATTTGCTGGGGAGCAGCTATAGCCACACTTGTAAATTTGTACTTAATGGAAATAAATACTATCTTCAATAGCACAATGTGAACCTACTCACAAATTAGCAGTGATCCTTCATTGAAAGATGTGGGATCAGGCTCCACTACTGAAATTTGGCCCTCCTGACTTCAGATATAGAATCTCTTGGAGGGCATGGCCCTATATAATTTTGATTATCCATGCTTTGCTGCACTTTAGCTTCTCCATATCCAATGTCTCTCATTTCAAAAGCTATCAGTCATTTTAGTCCTAAGTTACTTCCATTCCATGCAAATCTCATAGTTCTTCGCTATCACTCTTGAAAATGTATATCAATAATCAAACAAGATTCATGAAACAGGGATAGCTAAGAGTTATTTTAAGTTCTCTGCATGAGTTGCTTTGTGTGTGTGTGGGTGGATATGTATTTAGGTCTCAGGAGCACACACTGGCCGGATCCAGATATTCAGGCACATGCAGTTTGCAGTCTTTGATGACCAAGACATTTCCTTTAAATCACATGGTTGAAGACCACTTCCTGCTCAGGGGCAATGCGTAGGGGGTGCACGTGGGTGCATGTCCACCACGAGCATGGTGGTGCACCCCCTGCAAAAAGACCACCCTCTGCAGGCAGTTACCCCGCCGGCAGCATCTGCTGGTGGTCCACAACTGCCCCTGGCCACCGGCAGCACCTGTGGGTGGTCACCAACCCCTGGTCAGTGCTCACCACCCACCCCCTGCCAGTGCCAGCTGCGTCTATGGGAGCTCCGTGCTTACCACCGCTGGACTCCTGCTGCTGCCGGCGCAGCCATGCGCCTCCCCCCCCGTCCCCCGCTGCCGGGGGCATGTGCCATTCATGCTCTTGCTGTAACAACCAACATACTGTTAATTTGATAGGTCTGTCCTTTGCCATCCTTATTGCTCCCTGCATCAAATTGGCTGTTTGTGCATTTAATGTAATGACAGTTTCTGGACTGGCACCATAAGAAAATGAAGTTAGTTCACTAACAAAGTAATCCAGTTAGTATACAGTCCTCAGAGTCCTGGTTTCTCAGCCACATCATCCTACTTAGAGCTGCAGTGGCTTGCTCCCTGACATGTTTTTGGAACTCACAGTGCCAGCCTTGCCCAGTAAAGACCTGCAGCCAGTGCATGTCATGAAGAACAATACCTCTTAACATTCCCCAGAAATAACTGATTATCCTTAAAATGAAAAGCAAAACTCTCTGATGTATTACACCATTTGTTATTAGCTCTCGAGGCATCCTCATACATACATACAATATGCGGATAATCCGAACCTGATTCACATCCGTGATTTAGAAGAACTTTCTATACAGTCAACAGGAGTAACAAAAATGATTTGCATGGAGGCCAGATGTGCAAATAGCTTGCCAAATAGCGTGCAAACCCATGAGCCCAAGTTGCTTTTCCCCCTCCACCTTGCCATGCTTTTACTAAAAAAGTTGGGAGCCACCACTTGACATCACTTTCTGATCTGCGCTTCACGATCCTTTGTTCCAATGCAAGCAGTGCATCAGGTCTCCACGCCAGGCTTGGGGTAGTGCTGAATGGGACTGGGTTGCCAAAGGGAGAAACCTCGGACAACCCATTCAATACTACCCCCCACACGGCTGGAAGCCTGCACTGAGCTTCCCAATGTTGTGCCTAGACTGGCAGCTGCTCTACCCTGGGGTGATGCCTGAGACTCGGCCCCTGGAGCAGCCTCATCCAGCTCAGGGCGGGCTGGAAACCTGGCGACCATGGGGAAGCAGCAGCCAGGCAGGTGGCTGCCCCCCTGCTGCTGAGCATCTGGAGCCCAAGGGAATACCACGGGGCTGGCCTGACCCCAAGCCACCTCGGGCAGATCCACCTCAGTGTTGCCAGGGGTACAATCATTACCATATCAGTACCATCATTTCAACCCTTGTACAATGTACCATCAATAATAGTAATAGTGCTCAAAATATACAATAATTTTGGAGGCAGCAAATTGATGCAGCATACACAAAACCCCCCTCACTCTTATCTGACTTTTGGATTTGCTGCCAGTGCTTTCTTATGTTTCAAAATAAAGAAATGCTTCAACTTGATGACTCAGTTCTCACCCACTCACTTACTTATAATAAGCAATATAAAGTGGCTCATTTGGCATATCTATTTCGCATATTTTTTTCAATGTAGACAATTTTTCAGCAAATCTTATCATTTTGAGCTTCCAACAAACCATTTCATATTTAAGACCTGGCCACGCTGACCCACCCGCGGCCCCTGCTCCACCCACATGTGAGGCCAAGTAGGGCTGAGAGAGCCCTGCGCTTCGCACCCCCCAGCTCCTTTCCCCCCTGCCCCCGACCCACCCCGGCGCGCCAACAACTACGTGCGCCCAGGCCCGCCCGCTTGCTCCTCCGCTCGCCGCGCACGCGCGGAAGGGCCACGGCCACCCACGGGCGGGCCCGGGCCGCGCCACACCCCCAGCCCGCACGCAGCATGTCCAGCCGACCGCCCTACAGCCCCCGAGCGCTGCTGCCTCTGCTCCTCCCAACGCCTGGGGGCGCCCTGACTGCCCGGCGCGCAGCATTTGTTTGGCTGGTGGTACGGCCTAGGCTCCTCCCCAACACACTCTGGGAGATGGCATGTTCCAACCTGTGTTTCATTCCCTACCTTCCCCCCACGCTGTAGAAGTTGGCATGTTCCAAACCGTAGTTCTAAACTACCCGATACACACACTCTCTGTCTGGGAGTTGGTATATTCCAAGCTGTGATTCTACCCCTCCACACTCTGGGAGTTGGTATATTCCAAGATGTAGTTCTAATCCACCACACGTACACTGTGGGGGTTGGTACATTCCAAGCTGTGATTCTACGCCGCTTCTCCCCACATAGTCTGGGGGGGCGAAGGGAAGCAACAGGTCTCCTCTAGCCTCGTACCCCCTCAGGGCTTAAGCACAGCCCCCGAGCCGGAAACCCGCCAGTAGAGACAGGGCGGAAACTTTCCTTTGTTGCCTTCACGCCGGGCCCGGAAACGCGCTCGCGTCACTTCTGCTCCAGCCTCCTACGTTGACACAGGGAGCCGGGCTGAGCGCGGGTTCTGTGTCTCGCTCCGGTCGGAGGGGCGGGGCTGTTGCGGCGCGGCCGCGTCTTCTCCGCGGTCGGGGGCGGAGGTCGGTGTCCCGGGCCGGGACGTGCTGGAAGGGCGCGGGGGGGTCTGGCCGAGGTGGGGGAGGGGCGGGCACGCGGGATTTCCCTCCTCATGCGCGTCCCTGTGGTCCGCAGGCCCCGCACAGGTCGGCCGCTGCGATGTCGTACATGCTACCGCACTTGCACAATGGCTGGCAGGTGGACCAGGCCATCCTGTCGGAGGAGGACCGCGTGGTGGTCATCCGCTTCGGCCACGACTGGGATCCCACATGCATGAAGATGGACGAGGTGTTGTACAGCATCGCCGAGAAGGTGGGCTTGGGCTGGCGCCTGGCAGAGGCCACGTGGCCTCGGGCACTTTGTTGGTTGCCAAGTCATTTGTCTGCGGGATGGTGCATTTCCCACCCTTGCCCAGCACGTTCTGGCAGGAGGCAGGGGAGAGATGCACCGGATAGATGTGGCGGGGCCAACCTGTGGCATGGGCAGGCTCCGTGTGTGGTACATAGGCAGGTTAGGCAGGGAACAAAAGGCAAAGTGTGGGAGCAGGCAGGGGGCGGAAAGCAGAGCAGCAAATTGGGAAAAGGATTAGAGTCCCACTTGTGGCAGGTGGAGGTCTCATTTATGGCATGCCTACCAAAGCACTTGGCCCCCGCTTGGACAGTTTAACTCAAGGGTGTCACATATAGGGCCTGCAGAACTGAGCTGGTCTGCGGAGTCCTGTCAGCTGGCCCGTGGTGCTGCCTGCGGGTCTTGGAGTGGACCCAGGAGCCGTGCGCTGCATGCACTGGGTCAGCCCTGAACCCTGCATGCAGCACATGAGGCCAGGGTAAAACGGCACGTGGCATATGGGGTTGTGCTGGGCATGTGCTTCTTGCAGAGTGCACGACTAGTCTAGGGCTCATGCTGCATGCAGCACATGCAGCCAGTCCAGGGCACCCACTGCATGCATAGCCCAACCTATGCTCACTCTCATGCTGGTTTCAGCATGCAGGGCTAGTCTGCAAGCATGGTCTGGCCCATGGATCGGCCCTGCTCCATTCATCCAGCCAGTGGACCAGCCCCTCACCCTTCATCTGGCCCATGGCACCTGATGAGTTTGACACCCCTGGACTAACTGAATCAGAGACACATAAGCTTTCATGAGAGCAAGAACTCATTTCATCAGCTACCAAGAAAGGACATGTTCTTTGACATTCAGTCAAATGGAAACAGTGCAGTTAAATTCAAACATTGATTTATATTTGTTGTTAATATATAAAGATTTAATTAGTGGTACACTAATACATCGGCCCCATCTTGGATCAGCAGCAATATAAGGAAAATTGACAGTATTGGCAATCGACTTTTTTTTGGTTGATGTGGCTGATAATGTTGCCAATAAATGCCCTGTGCATGCACGCAGCTGCAGCACAGCATGCAGGCAGCCAGGAACAGAGCCTGGCAGCGTGGAGCGCAGCTTGGTCTAGCTGGTAAGTCTGTTGTGGGGGAAGGGGCATGAGGGGGGCCAGATTGAGGCCCCTGTGGTGCAGGCAGGAGTGGGGCTGGGGCAGGGGAAGCTGCTGCACAGCTGGAGCACGGCACAGGATGGAGCCGCCAGCAGGTCGGCTGGAGGACGTGGGGAGGGGGTAGCAGCTCCTGCCACTGCACGCACACTGGGAGGGTATGGTGGGGCATGTGTCCCCGGATCTGGGCAGAGGGCAAGGGCAGGCAGCCACTGGGGGCAGCGTCGGACTCTTCCTGGTGGTGGGGATTAGGTTGGGGCTGCATTCAGGGTGGACAGTGGCAGTGTTGGGATCGGGTCTATGGCAAATTTTGGGGTGGCTCCATCTCCTTCTCCCCCCCATAGCTCCCCTCCAATCACCGCTGCAGACCTCACCAAACACAGCTTAGCCCAACCCCCCGGCTGCAACAGCCGCCCACCCGTGTCCTGTGCACAGATCCAGGGGCATACGCCCTCCTCCCCTCCCCCCCCCCCCCCTGTGTGCACTGGCAGGAGCTGCCCTC